AATGGTCTCGACTCCGGTCAACCCATGCCCATCTCGCTGATCGCCATCTCCTCCACTTCCTCGAGCACCAGTATCCGAGATCTGCCCCGATCCCAACCCATCGCCTGGGTCGTGGGAAATGAAGTGCAGCCCCTCGGCGTCCAGCATCACCCAAGTTCCACCGTGGTTTCGCCTATAGGCCCTCTTCGGAGCATCATCCTGTCCCAAGCTGCCGGCCTCAAACCGAGTTCTGCCCTCCGCGCAGTCTCAACCTCATAGTCGTAGGCGCCACGTCACGATGATATAGGTCTGGATCGGGTACTCGATGGTGTCCAGCTGGTTCAGGTCGGATCTCCGTCCTCATTCTCATAGCTCTCACTGAAATGCGATCCACTGGGTTCCTGGTCCCCGCCTCCTGGTGGTGGTTTGGGTCATCCGGTTCAGCCCAGGGATATAGCTCATCGTGTGCTGAATAGCCAAAGCCTCGAGATCCTTTGGCTGTGCTAGACAGTTCCTCCACACAGTTGACCTCAAGCTCCAAGATCCGCTCAATGACCACCTGGGCTATCCGGTCACCCTTGTAGATCCTCAAGTCCACGTCCGAGTGGTTGCGCAGCAGGACCTTGACCTCCCCCCTGAAGTCTCTGTCGATCAGCCCGGCTCCCGTCTCGATGCCTCGGATCGCAAGCGATGACCTTGGGGCGATGCGTCCATAGCTGCCCGGAGGGAGCTCAAGAGCGATCCCCGTCTTCACCAGCACACTGTCTCCTGGTTGGACCATGGTCTCAATGGTGGAGTATAGATCCAACCTGGCTGCATGCTCTGATCCCCTCGTCGGTAGTATCGCTTCTGGCGACAGCAGCTTCACCTTCAACTCCTCCTTCGCCTTGAACCATCTCTTCACTCCAGCCGTGCCGACCCTGAAAAGGATGTCCCCAAGGATCGCGATGGCCGCGGTGAGAAGGACCAAAATCCTCCTTCCGGCTGAGTGGTCTCTGAGGCCTCCACCCGATGGACCATGCTGGCCACTGCCACCAGCAATCCCAGGCCCTTCGCAAATCTTGGGTCCGGTATTCCACTGTTCAGGTCGACCTTCTTCACCTTCACCTCAATCGCTCCAATGCCAAGGGTCTTCTTGAAGTTCTGGAGCGCCTGGCCAGTGAGCTGCTTCGTCATGCCATCCGCGACCAGTTGAGTCCCTGCCACATGCTCCAAAGACACCTCCCTCGATCTCAAGGCTTCTGTGAGGCCTGCTGCTCTGATCCTCAGATGCCTCGTCCTCCAAGAGGAGGTAGTCCCTCGATGGCGATGGCAGCAGTAGAGTCGGAGTGTAACCTCAGCTGGACTCCCTTCCCAAGCACTGCCTGCACCAGAGCTCCTGCTGACCTGGCGTTGACCAAACTTTCCAGCATGGACATGAGCTCTGCCTCCGCTGTTGAGAGTGTCACAAAGGCCTGCCTTGTGGTGTGCCAGGCGATCGGAGTGCCTCCAACGCAGACCACAATGCCTGTCAGGCTCTTCAGGTTCGACGAGGCATATGAAGCATCCGAAAACACCTCCACCCGAGACAACTCATTCGTCTCCGATCTTTCCTCCTCACTGGTCTTCCCGCCCTTGATGAAGAGGCACTCATCCCGGGTCTGTCTCAAGTAGGCCCTGACCTGCTTGCCGATGTCCATCACTGCCTTCGGCTTCTTAGTCGACCACTGGCACATCAGACTCACGGCCAAGCAGATGTCAGGTCGAGTTCGTCCAGCTACCCACAGGAGCTCCCCTGTCTCCTTCTGCGCTCGTGTGATGTAACTTAAATGTAACTATTTTTAAGTTCTATATGTTCTAATTGGTGATTTTTGATGTTCAAAAACTATGTTTTTTCAGGTTTCCCAGTAGCAAGGCCCAAATCGAAGGACATCGAAAAACTATGCTTTTTACCTGGGAAAGCGCTGCTGTTGCAAGGTTTTTTAATGTAGAACACTCACCGCGCCGCTTTGCTGAAGAAAAGCAAAAAGCAAAACAAAAAGACAAAAAATGCGTTTCGAATTTCTTCGGTGGACCACCACCGCGCTAAAAGAAAAACACTTTCTACTTTAAACCATCAAAACGCATAAGAAAAACAGAACACACACACAATGACCTACATCTGTGTGTTAGGAACACGCTGGGCGGTGGTCCGTCCAAAAAATTGAAGGCGGTGGTCCGTCCAAAAAATTGAAGGAGGTGGTCCGTCCAAAAAAGTTGATGGCGGTGGTCCGTCCAAAAATTTTGATGGCGGTGGTCCGTCCAAAAAGTTGTGGCCGGTGCCCCAAAAACGCGGTGCACCCTGATGAACAAGAGGCTATATGTACAGTAGATGTACGGTAATGTATGGTAGATGTACGGGAATGTACGGTAATGTACGGTAGATGTACGGTAGATGTACGGTAATGTACGGTAGATGTACGGTAGATGTACGGTAATGTACGGCATGTACGGTAGATGTACGGTAGATCTGCCGTACATCTACCGTACATCTACCGTACATTACCGTACATTCCCGTACATCTACCATACATTACCGTACATCTACTGTACATATAGCCTCTTGTTCATCAGGTTACATCAGATCTTTTGAGGGACTGTGTGTGTGTGCGTCTTGCGATGCGTCACGGACAGGCAAGGATCTACGCGTGATCCAGCTTAATGGCTTCTAGTCGTTCCATGGCCTACATAATGGATTCGTTGCACTATATTCTACTACGTGTGCGTGTTGCATGTTTACGTGTTTCTGTGCGCAAAGTACTACTCTGTCGTACGGGTGGACCACCACCCCACAAATTATTCACGACTAAAACATAAAAAACAATCGCGCCCATAAAACCAGAAAAAATGTTTCCAAAACAACACAAAATACAAAGATTTGCTAATCAGTCTCAGTTCTACACAAAAAAGAAGAGTACACAAAAAAAACATTAAAAAAAACGCTTCTCTGCAAACCCGTCCACAAAAACATAGTTTTTTCAATGCAAAAAACCTAAGTTCCCTAAGTAAGTTGTAAGTGATTTAGCACCAATTTAGCACCCTCCAACATAAACTAGGATAACTTACTTATAGATATCGAAAGTAATTTGCAACTGCAACGTAAATACCACCAAGAACTTAGAACACTTCACAATCTTAGACCAGCTTACAACATCAGTTAACCCATGTTATAACATATGTTACGGCACTTTACAAGTTCTCCAACTAGGGGGGCCCATTGCTGTAATCCTCTGGTGCATGCCGAGGATCACCTCTTCGGCCCCAGCGATGATGATGTCGTCGACGTAGGTGGCGCAGAGCCCCATCATTTCCCAATCGCTGTCCTCTCCTCGGCAACCATAGACTCCCCAGACATCCTCTTGGGCTGTCTATCCTCCTCCCACTCGAACTTCTGGAGGCAGCGGTCACGGTGGAGACACCAGGGGCGGTTCGACAATCACCACGCCCCGATCAGCCGAGTCATCCACTGGAGCATTCAAAAAAGGCAGTTTTCACATCCACCGTCAAGACACTCCAGCCTCTGGTGGCTGCGATCTTCAGCAGCAAGCGAACTTCAGGGCCTCCTGCTCCAGAGGCGAAGGTGCTCTCCTCACTACGGGACTTCATGTAGTTCCCACAGGCCACCGCTCTGCGTTTGTGCCTGCCTGAGCCAGCCTTTCGGCTGAAGACGCCCTTCGCCGGCAGCAAGTCGAAGGTTCTGCCAGAGCTGACTGCCTCCTCCTTCGGCTCGGTCATCCTCTCCCGGCTGATGGGCTCAACTGCCTCCGACTCAACTACCAAAGCTCCATACTCGTCGCCCATGGATGGCTTCCATTCTTCAAGGTTTCTCCGGACCTCAGCCAGACCCACCATCCTTGTCTGGAGGAACTCAGCGGCTTCCTCGCCTTTCTTCTCAATCTCGGCGATCATGGCTTCCTGGTCCTCCCGATTGGCCTCGACCGCTGCGCATCCAATCTCCTCGATCTCGGCAGTGAGGGCCTTCAGGAACCGTTCATTGAGGATCTCCCCCAGTCTACGACCTCCGCCTTGGACTCCACCTGCAAAAGCTTCATCTTCCCTCGGGTTCGACCCGGTCTCTTCCGGGGTTGAGGATTCTCCTCTCTGTCCTCCACCTCGTGGATCAGTCCGACCTCTCTCTCGGGGAGCTCGATCCCCTCGGGCGGTCTCCAACCTGGATGATGTCGCCGGTGTGGAACAGCTTGCCTGTGGAGCTCCTGCACGAAGTACCCTGGAGTCGTCATCGACATCGTAACCGCCGGGCAGAGAACTCTCACCTGCGTCCTCGTGGTCGACAGGTACTTCTGTCGGTCACTGTATAGAGCTTCCTCTTGGCCCACACGACCTGTCCAAAAGGCACTAGCTCTGTCGCCAAAGCTAGCTTCAGTCCCGGGGCCCATGCCGACCATCTCTGTCGGATCCGCTCATTCAAGTCCTCTGCCAATGCCGTGCCTCCCCCCACTCTGATGTCCTGAAGCTTGGCCAGCCTGGCGATGTTGGTGCCCAGCCTCGTTGGCTTCCTCCGAGCATGTCCCATATATCCTTGATCAAAGCTGACCTCCATCATCATCCCCCACCGGTCTCGGAAGGCTTTGATCCACTTGGGCCAGCTCCAGTACGACGGGTACAGCTGCCCTTCCTTCTCCTCCGGCTTGACGTACTCCTCGGGGTCTTCAGGCTGCTCCAAGGCTGACAGCGTCGGCTTTGGGCCTCGGGCCAGTGCTGCTCGATGATGAAGATACAGCTGGCCAAGGAACAGGACCGTGTCATCTTCCACCCACCTGCTTCCGAAGATAGCGGTCCAGTTCAAACCTGTAAGGCCCCTTTTTCTCCCGCAGTGGAGGTGGTCCTGGCTGCTTGCACCTCAATCTGCTCATCGTCCTGCATGGGGGGTCCAACAAAGTGCAGACCGTACCGCCATCAGCCAAGTCGAGCAAGTAGGAGAAGATGTCGTCACGCAAGAGGTTCATGCCCTGGTCAATGACCGTGTCGATGCACAGCACCGCTCAACTCTCCCCCTCCAGTTCTTTCTGCCAGAACTTCCGAGAATCTCCACTGAAGAGATGGATGATGACCTCCTTGGCTTTCCTGACCCGCCTTCTCTCATGCCGATTCCACGGCAACCCTTCGCCCGTCCACCCCTTCTTCGGAAGCAGTCGCTCCAAGATGTGATGGGGTACCTGTGGGAAGAGGTTCTTCAGCTCCGTCAGATGCCCTGCTTCTTCCGGATCCACCTCTAGGCCTATGTCCTCACCAGCCAGATGGGCGAACCGTGCTCTTTCTCGCACCATGCTCCTCTCAATCTCCTGGATCAACTCGTGGGCCAGCGCCTCGTCGATAGTGGGGCACGAGTTCTCCACCTTCGTGTCCAACACCAGGCCCGTCGGATCTGTGAGCTCGAACCTGGCCTTTTCCCAGACTGCCTCATAGCCCAGCGAAATGAGGACACCCAAGGGCACGATGACCTGCACGTCCTCCTGCGTCAGCAAAGTCCGTGTCCACGGAAGGAGCCTGAGCACTGCTGTCCCAGCGGCCAACTCCACATTGACCTCCTGAGCCCTCAGCCACTCTTCTTCCGATGCAGCTTTTCGCAAGCAGTGTGTTGCCCCACCATCAAGAAGAGCTCTTCCACCTTCTCTGACTTCCAGGCTACTAAGCCTGCTGGCCTTCACTGATGGTGCCGGCCTCAAACTCTTCAGCAAGGTTGTGGCTTCATTCAGAAGACCCTTCACATCTCCCGATGTCCCAGCTCCTCTTTCGCTTTCACTGCAGAGGCCCTGATCCATCACCTCCCCAGTCCCGGCCTTGACTCCAGACTCCGCTGTCTCTGCCTTCACCAGGTTGTTGAGGTTCTTCTCCTTGGTGGACTTGACAGCCTGCTTCTCGGGGGACTCCCTGTTCCTGGGCTTCAAATTGGGACACTCTTTCTTGGAGTGTCCTGTGCCCCAGCAACCAAAGCATCTCCCCTTTTTCTCAAGCCCCGACCAGTCGCGCTTGAACTTGCAGTCGTTCCCCTTTCTGCAGCCATCTTCTGTGCCCCAAAAGCGACATATCCTCTCTTCCTTCTGACCCTCCGGTCTTGTCTTGCCAGTGCCCTTCTCCACCTTCTCCTCCGCGACTGCGACCATCGCCTTGACCTTGGTCACGGGTGTCGTCACCTTGACTTCCGTCTGGGGCTGCAGTTCACTGATCGCCAAGGACTCGGCCTCTGCCGTCAGCATGTGTGACATCCACACCCAATGCCGCTCTTGTCGAAGAAGTTCTGAAGGCCGCTTGACTCGTCGCCTTCACAACCTTCTCGGACATCTTGTCCAATGCTCCAAGCAGCAGCGTCGAGTCAGGTGTCGCGATCTCCAGCTCCTGAGCCCGCTTCAAGCTCCTCCGCCATCCTCTCAATAGCTCCACCGTCTCCGGGTTCAACCAGTTGGAAGCAACCTCGGACGTTCGGCCAGTCCTCCTGGTTGATACCTCCGGAACAGAGCATAGGGCACTTCGACCGAGCTTGATGCCCGATTCGCCAGAATCTCTGACCCGATGGAGTTCGGCACCGCGTTGAGCAGCATCAGTTGCCGCTCTTTTGTAAGCGGTTCCAGACCGTGGTGCACTCTCTTCGTACCTGTGGTTTGATGTGGAGCCGTTGAATCTGAACTGGTTCAGCCCGGAGCCAATCCCGATACGCTGCCATGGCCAGCTGCAGAACTTCCTCCCACCATCTCCACGAGGTCGCACTCAAATCCCACATAGTCGGTGAGATGAGCTGAATCCAGTCGCCCAGCACTAGCGATCCCTGCAGCTCTCCTTCACGAAGTTTCTGAAGGGCCGGCAGTTCGACCGACCTGATCACCTCTCCCCAGCTGCCCTCATGGCTTCCAGTTCCCAGCTGTCGAAGCACCGACTGAGCCGCTTGCTCTAGAGGCGAGCCCTTTCCAAGATCTCCGTCTCGAACTGCGCAGTCTGGTAGGCCTCCGCGTCCAGGTCCAAACCCTCCAGCATGTCCTGGATGTTCCCAGATGCTCCTTTGGATCATGACCCAAACATCCAGTCCCATGACTTCCAACCTGAAGCGCCCCAAGCCACGACTCTGGTACCGGAGGAGGTCCTCGTCCATCCGGATGACAATCTCCCCAACGTCGTGTCTCTTCCTCCACACTCGTCTTCTCCCCCACAAAACTCCGGGACCGCTGCAAGACGAGGTTTCCCTGCTCCACCTTCTCTCTCTGGTGTTCCAGGGGGCGGACCCTGTGGTGGACTCGGCGGTGGAGTTGTCGTTGGTGGTCTGGGGACTTCCACCTTGAAATCCCGAGACACCTTCTCCTTCTCCTTGGTGGAGTCGTCGATCTTCTTCTTGAGGTCCGCCAACTCTCGCTTGAGCATCGAATTCTGGTTCATCACTGCCTTCAAGACCTCTCGTAGGTCCACGGCTGCGTCCTCTCCTCCTGAAGGTCCTGGGCCCGAGGATGTACCCGTCGGTAGTAGTGAAGCTGGCCTCATCGCTCGGAGCATCACTTCATCCTTCAAGGTCTGACTCTAGAATGGGTTGACGTCCAGGGCGACATTCCCAGCCGCGGTGCCACCCGTCCCCTGGCCTTTGCCATCTCGCCTCCGATCATCACGTCGTTGGGGACCATATGTAGTGGGTGGCCCCTCCGCCAGTGCCAGCACCCCTGAATCACTCATTTCCGGATCCAGCCTCTCATCTTCAAGCGCCAAGATGCCGGTGTCCTCCTTGGCGCTCTCCATGGACGACCCTCCCTCAGGGGATTCCACCCCTCCAGCCGCTGCGCTGCCGGCAGCCGCTCTCCGCGACATGGCGGCCAGCGACCTGGGCCTCCGCTCGAGTGCTCCAGGGTGGACTTTCGGAGCTCAGCACGTTGGGCTCATAACCTACGGGTTCGAGCATGCGGACTTTTCCGCGCTGGTTCAAAAAAGGGCTTCAGATGATCGCCCTCTCTGGTTTGGTTCCTAGATCATAGCCAAAAGGTCGTGAAAGTCGTGACCTGGCCAAAGAACTTGGTACTCTTCTCTATTTGTGCGGGCATCCACAGATTGATGCCGAAATCAATCATCAATGTCCTCCCTTCCAGGTGCCGGACCAAAGACTATCCAACCTTTGGCATGAGCTCAGTTCTGAGGCAGAGTGGCCTTGACTTTATTTGCTACTGTCCTGATATGTGATACAGATATATATATATATATAGAGTTACTTATAGTTATATAGTTTGCTTACTGAAGACTTTCACACATGTTCACTTCCAGGATTGCAATATACTATATGTTATATTATATGATTGAAGCCATAAATCCTAACTGCTGTGTCCGTTGAACAATACCTTGCTTGTTTGCAGGAACGAGCCAGAGTGGCCACCAACTTATGGGGAGCCAAAGCATAGTTTTGAAGACACACAGTTGGTGTCGTCACATTGCATCATTGGCAATGGGCTACAAGAACTTACTGTAATTGCCGAAGATTGGGCGAGGTCGAAACTCATGCCGGCGGACAAGCGGTTCGACGTTTCTGCAAGGCTTGGAATCGATTTCATTCCGCTCACTTTGCGTTGGGCTTCTTAATTGCCCAGAGATGGAACTCTGAGATAAGGATTTAGAGACTAGTAATTAGGTTGCAGGCCATCGCTACTATATTATCAGGAAAGTTAGCCGGTAGGCAGGGCTTGAGGTTGTTGGAGCGAACTAAGTGAGTAAAGGGGGTGCGGGGGGGCATTTTCGGAGAGGTGAACCCAGAGCCTGGTGGGGGAGAGCGAAAAAAAGAGGTGGGCCACTTGGTAGTGAAAAATGAGTGGTTTGAGGGGTGTTGTGATGCCGGTGATGTAATTGATGGCGAAGAGTGCATCATCAGCATCACGAGGGGCTCATGAGGCAAGAGAATAGATTGTAGTTGTGGCTAAGCTCAGCATTGCTGCCGGACTGAAGAGGGCACTCCCTATGCGGTGGGAGTTCACGTGGATTGGGGCTGTTGAGGGATGCCATCTGTTGAGGGCCTGTGAGAGAACCGAACTGAAGAGGGCACCCCCTATGTGGTGGGAGTTCACGTGGATTGGGGGTTTAGGGCAGGAGAGAGAAGAGATTGTAGTGGGCGAGCGTTGGAGGCGGAAGGTCATGAATAGCTTAGGGGTGCCCTTTTATTTGTAGCAAGGTTTAGTTGCTGGACTGAAAATGGCACTCCACCTGGGGTGCACGATGCTATCGGTTGAGGGCCTGCGAGAGAGCCGGACTGAAGAGGGCACCCCCTATGCGGTGGGAGTTCACGATTGGGGGTTGTTGAGGGCAGGAGAGAGAAGAGATTGCAGCGGGCAAGCGTTGGAGACAGAAAGTCCTGAATAGCTTCGGGGTGCCCCTTTCTTCTCCGTAGCGAGCTCTAGTTGCTGGACTCAAAAAGGGCATCCCATATATGGGGTGCATGATGCCATCTGCTGAGGACATGCGCAAGAACGGCTTGCAGCGGGTAAGCAATGAACTCCACTGGGGTGCATGAAGCCATCTGTTGAGGGCAGGAGAGAGAACACATTGGGCAAGCGTAGGAGGTGAAGGTCAGTGGGCAAGCGCTGGAGGCAGACCACTTGGAGTTGTTCGGTTGCGTGGTAGTGCGACTACAAGGGTGCCCCTTTTCCCCTCCACAACGCCCCGACATCGAGACGCAAAAGGGGGCCCGTCCCAAACCTCTGTATTCTACTCTCTATTTCCATTCTTTCTCGAGTGACGGCCTGGCCATATCCACTTCACCACTTCCAGCTCCTCCTTGTCCACTCTACCTCATATATAAAAAAGCACATATATATAATATATATATATATTATTTTTTCCTCGCGAAAGCCTGCCGATAGCCTCGCCCACGACCGTCTCTGCTCACTCATTACCAACACACAGCGACGAACTCACATAACATCTTTGAGGGTAATTTTTCACCTCGACAACACTTCTGAACCCAGACAAAAAAGCCTTTCCCCTTTTTTCTACCGTCTATTTCTACCTCCTATAGCGTACCTGCGATGCCAACTTCAACCCCATACACGTACTCTTTACAAGATGTTAGCCTATCATTTCATCTTGCACACTCACGTCGCTCAGATATCAACCTCACCACTTCCGGCTACTCTTTGTCCACTCTACCTAATATATATATATATATATTTTTTATATATATATATATTGTATATATATCATATATATAATTTTTACATATAATATATTTCCTCACCTACCCTACCCATAGCCTCGCACATGAACCCCCGCTCACTGATTCGCAACACGCTGCCGGCAAGCGCGCCTCACTTCCTGAGGGGTGCCCTTTTTCACCTCTCCCTGAACCGGGGTGAAAAAGGGCACCCCACCCCGGACCTATGTCTTCTACTTTCCATTTCTACCCCCTATCAGTGTGGCTGCGATGTCGACTTCATCCTCTTGCGCGCCAAGTCCTTGCCCGGGCCTACCCTGATAGCACCCCCTAAGCCAGAGGCTGGCTTTCGTCTCCTCCTTTCTCAGGTATGTATATATATATAGGTTGGAGGCCATCGGGCCATCGCTATTAGGGGGAGGCCATCGCTATTAGGTTGGAGGCCATCGCTATTAGGGGGAGGCCGCCCTGCAAGCATGTTTTTGCATTTTGTGCTTTCCATGCAGGAGATGGCGCATCACGTGCGTCCAAAGGAGTGCAGAGCGAGCGAAAAGGCCAAACGAAGTCTTGGAGCTGTGCCTCGGCTCCAAGCAGTCTAAACAAACAAGCGTTATACAAGATTATACAAGGTGTCAACAAAAGGATTGAGGTGTCGGAGTGGTTCTGGGTGATGATTATTTTATAAAACAATATTTTACACTCTTGCCTGATGCGAGCTGCTGTTCTTGGTTGTAGAGTTTGGCTCCAGAGATCCAGGGGTGTGAAATACTATGATGAGATGATGTGATGTGCTCTAATTTGGCATCCATGACGGGATCTGACAGTGTTAACCATGTCGCTTGCAGGACTCATTTGCTCTTTTGATTTGAGACCAGTTTGGTACAGTAGTAGTCTAAACTTTAAACGGGGCGGAGGTTCCTGGTGCCAGCACGTTGCTCCTCTTTAAGCAATGCTTATCCGCTTATCCTTGGTCCAAGGTGTTTATGCTTGACCAGCACTCACTCTCCATTTACAAGGCAGGGTGCTTGTGATGGGACGGCGATAACACAGTAGAGCGAATGTGATCTGACAATTGAACAATACAATCAATACAGTATTTGTTTGCACCTCGTTGCTGTTTCCAGCCAAGTTGCTGCAAGAGAGAGAGAGAGAGGGAGTGACCAAGAGAAGTGCAACGTGTTCCACGAATCAGTTTGGAAGCAATGTAGCCATCACAAGGCTGCTGTGTGCCAAACACAGGGAATCATGCTCGATTGAAACATTTTGAAACTGCACAACCGGAGTCAAAAGCAGCTCCATTGTGACCCAACGCAACACTTTGCTTGGAGATCAGGAGATGTTTGTAGTTGCCGTGGAGCAGAACGTTCCGTTGGCGATCAACATGCAGGCTTCAGCTACCTGTTTTTCACCTGTAGACAAAGGCGAGTGCCATTCAAGCATCAAGCAGAAAGCACGATGCAAATTGTCACATTGAATTAGAAATTGCAAGCAAGTCCCTTTCTCGGAGGTCGAAGTTGTTTGTGTAGCCTGGTTGAACGGCCAGGTTATTGAAGCTGTAGATGGTGTCGTGCAGGAGAACTTTCAAGTTCAAACTGCTTTAAGATGTGTTATTTTGTTTTCCTTTTTTTTCTTGTTTTAAAGTTTAAAGCCCGCTCCTACTTAGTTAAGTAGGCGCCTACTTAGTTAAGTAAGGGAGAGACTTGTTCGCTCCTAGCTACTGACACACTACTACATATGGATTCAGGATAGCTCAGGCTTCTTCAAGGAAGCTCCCCCGGCCTGAGGGCACGGCGGAGCTTCCTTGAAGAAGCACTCGCACTAATGATGTGGTTCCTTGATTTTTAGGGAAACTTAAGCAACAAAAATATTTAACATAGTGTTGTGTTGCTAGCTTTCTGAAGCTTTGACCATGGTCTTTGCTATTAGCGCCACAGAGTGCAGCTTGCTTTAGGGAGTAAGTTCAAGAGTCAGGAGTAGTCAAGAGGGTCCAGGGTGAAACTTCTTGAATAGATTACCCAAGTGAATAAATTCAATCTCCTCTTGCCTGGCCTCCCCTCGACTCAGCTGTCATCCTGTAGTATCGCATGTTATTGGTTGAGTGAGCTTGTGTGACTCAGTTGTATTTAACGTATTTCAACTTTAGCTCGATCTTTCATGTGAAGTCATATCATGCTAGCAATGAGATAGTGACAGCGCATTGCCTTTCCTTTTTTGGTTCGACATTCCTGACCTTTTATTCTGTGGTCACATCAACCCACAATTTGCAATCTTCCCTAATCTCTCAACATGTACTCAGCCTTTTCTTTTCAGAATTGTTCCCTGCCTCTGCTCATACTCTGGGCTTGAAGGTAACGAAAGCTTTGCCATAGTTTATCTCGCTGTATTTCTCAAGTGAAATAGGAGAAGAGGGTAAGGGTCAGCATGTGGTATTTCCCAGACGGGCCAGCTGCTCTGAAACAACAATTCCAAACAGACCAGTGCGTGCAAAGTGTTTCTATTCTAGCCAGGACTTTTGTGCAGCACGTCGTCAGCATGAAGGTACGCGAATTTTGGTCTTCACCATCGGTGCAAATGCTTCTGGCAAATGCTCACAAATCTACTTGATGTTGGAACACCATCATCGTGCCAAGTTTTGACAAGGAAGCTATAATTACCATTAATTACCCGTTCAAGATGGTAT